TTGAATGCCTTCCCACAGGTTTACCCGAAGGAGGTGACTTCCTATAGGAATCTTGGAGTGGCTGTCAGACAAACGCGGGCCTCCCTGTGCCAGGGCATTCTTTCGAGTGCAGCGCGATGGCTTCCTGTCCCTCGTGGCGGTGCGGGACATCGCGGAGGGACAGGACCTGCCTGCGGCCTTCAGAACTTCACGGTGTCCACCCCCGATTAAAGACAGTCCCAAACGGGGTCGACAGTCCAACGGTTCCACACCCTGCCGTTTGAAGGAGGGTCAAACAAGCTGAGTCATCGACACTTGTAAGCTATTATTTGGACCACCTTCAACAGGGCTTTTGTCCAGGACAGCATGCTCGCTTTGGCGAAACGTCGGCAGACGTTGTGGTTGCGCATCGGGAGTCAAGGGCACACAATCCAGCAGTGAATTCCAGAGTATGGCCTGCAGTACGGTTAGCGCTGCATGCGAGAGGGGGCATATGGGCACAATGAGCTAATGAGCCCTACCCAATTGAGCGGCAAGCTAGCAATGCTCTCTTGCGGAACTCGCAGCAGGGTGCTTGGCAACACCAGGCCCTCGTTAACCCTGTTGCGCCACCTTGTTCTGGCATTTGAAGCCAGCCCACCTGGTCACTGAACCAGGGCTTTGTTTGACGTAGGAGGTGACCGTGTCGTACCTGCCCGAGTCCAAACTACTTCAGCCCATTGCCACACGCCGGAGCTTTCTGCGGCCCTGGCACTTTCACTGCACCTGCAGCCGCTGCTCTGAGAGTGACGACACCCGCGGCGTCCTGTGCCATGGTGGGCAATCAGGTTTCAATTGCCGCTGAGTTCCAAGTATATGGCCTATGATTTTCCGAAAGGGGATGGGTATTTCTGTTTGTGTCCACAGCGCTTAGTTGACACCCAGCCACTTCCTGCGATACCAAAGTGACGAAAGTAGTCCACAGGCCCACTGACATCACAAACGGACATTTATACTTCTCGCCATATCCTGCAGCGAGCAAGACACCGGAGAGCGACCACATCCAACAGGGCGCTCCCAGAAGTTGCAAGGTTTGGTGCAGGCTTACCAACTTCTTACATACTTGCAGCATGTTGGGCATCCACCAGAACTTCCCCCCACCCAACAAATAGGGGTCCTTGCACACACAGAGACCTGTTGATCAGAAGGTCCCCTCCGGACTCTTCGTTGGGATGAGGAGGCCTTGGCGTTCACCATGCCTGAGGTGCGAGTGCGGCAAGGTGGTGCGCCCACGAGAGAACACCTGGCGCTGCGAGAGCTGCGGGAGGTCAGTGGAAGGACTGGAGGCCGAAGCAGAAGCTTGGCCGCAGCCAGCGAAAGTAACGGACCCTTCACGGCATCCGGTTATAAGGCGCGGCGTCTCAGTGCTAGCTGCCAGGAAGGCCTCCTGGCTGTTTGCCAGACGCGGAAAAAAGCTGGAGTCGGATTCCTTCTTTTCTCCTCTCTTGTGGGTCACAGGCTACTTAGGCGAAATACTGAAAGCATCTGAAAGCCAGTGACTGAATTACGTACTGTTCACCGATAAGGAAGCGGGGGTCGTCAAGTCTTTTTTTGGAATGTAGAAGCGAGTCTGCAAAAAGGAAGATCAATGACCAACGCATGACTTGATGGAGATGAAGTGGACCTGATCAACGCATGACTTGATGGAGAGGAAGTGGACCAACGTCGTTGCAAATGCCACTGCTAGTTCACAAGTCAAATTTGGCAGGGGCAGGGATTTGGGATGGATTCCGGTTTTTGCCGCCCAACCCTAGAGTTTGAGCTGAAATGCAGCAGGCGGTATGACGTAAAACAAGGTGCCCTCTGATTGGCACATTGCGACATGTTGAAGCAGATGGCCACGTGCGAGCACATGATGTTTACAACCCCGTCATCTCCGACTTGAAGGAGTCCGTTTCTTCAGACCGGCCACAATACGTATTTTCCTCAGGGCCTGGGATGTGCAGGGCCACACCATGCCACTTAAGGCGCTTAGTGCAGCAGCAACTTGAGAGACTGGTTCTTTGGTTGGTTTGTCATTTTTTAGGGTTCCAATACCGGACCCATGAACTTGAACCTTGTTTGCATCTTCGCAATCGGATGACTACATCTGAAGTAGTCCAACATGTGCGAACATGTATTTCCCGTGGCTGGAAGCCACAAGCCAGTAGGTGCCTCCAACCAGCCTGGAACCTTTGTCGCAAACAGGTCCCTTGTTTTGCTTGAAGCACCTATGCAGCCCATAACTTGACGATTTCAGGAAAGGAAGCCAGCAGGGAATACTGTAAGAACACAAACCTGCCAGAACCTTGGTATTGGGAGTGAAGAGCACCAGTTCCCAGCAAGAATCCAAGGAGCAAAGAGGATCGGCATTTTCCCAAACCTTGAAAAGCCATGGGTAGTTTTGTTGTGTTTAATGCATTTTTTCCTCTTCACTTCGCCCGAGGCTTGCCAGGCAGACTTGCGGAAGGCGAAGCGGAGTGCCGGCGCTTTCGCGGCGGCGGCGCTGGCCGAGCAGCGGAAGGGCAAGCTGAGTCTCCGAGGCGTCAGATCCACGGCGCTTTCTTTGGGAACCCCTTGTTGGTTGGCTGCTCAGAGAAGCCAAAAGGAAAACCAGGAGCCTTTGGGTGTCTATTTTGACACCCTTCGGGCTATGTTTGTTGTGATTGAAAGGTCCAGGTGTGAATGGTCGGTTTGGCGGGTAAATAGGATACCCTCGAGTATCCGGCGAAAACGGGGGGCTCTCTCACATGCCCATAGGGGCATTGCATGTTTGACCGTGGCAAATGTGCGTGTGTGTGTCAAAAGGGGGGGACGCCAGTTGGGTTGGTCACACCTATATTCAGCAACAAACATTCCGCATGACAACCAATGGCATGGGTGGTCTAGTGTTTCCATGGCACCTCTAATGGCTGAATCTTGTATGCTCAGCTCAGCGCGGGAAGACCCACTCAGATTGTTGGTGGTGATTGAGATGGCCCTATGTTGAGAGTATACGAGCCGTTGAATCCAGGTACTACTTTCCTGAAATTTCAAGGCAATGACAATCAAGAGAGTCTTTGGGGCCTCGTAGGGGTCACACATCTGTATGTATTTGTATATGTATAGAATGTATCTATGCATACATGTATACATATGTATACATATATGTTATATGCATATTTATGCTTGGAAGGTCACCATCTCACCACCTCGCTGGGGCTGGAAGCTGCCGAGAAGGCCTATGACTTTCCGGCGGCAGTTCTGCGCTGGCGCTTTGCCAAGCCACTGGGCAAGCAGATGCGGGGAGGCGGGGAGGCGGAGGATCCCTTAAAGGATGCATTGGGCCATTCAATAGACCACCTTGACCGGTTCTCGATAGATCCTTGCCGAGTTCCTTTTACAAACCCACTGCAAAAGGTGGCTTTGAGGTTTGATTCTTGACTTTCCAGAAAGAGAAAGGACAGTTATGCACAGTGGCGGCTGCAGAAGGCTATTGCGGGATTCCTGCTAGAAAGGGGCCATTTCATCAAAGGCAAAAGCTGCCCCAAAGGTCCACCATTACCAATCCCAATTCCGTTCTCTCGGTGCAACCACTAAAGGTACTAAAGTGCTTCGACTTCCCTCGAGGTCACGGAAGCCAAGAGGCCAAGAGGAATTGGTTTGACCATGTCAAAAGAAAGGGCCATGACCAAAGAAAGGGTCGGCCTGAGGTCTACCCTCCGCGGCTTGTCACGCACAGCGGCTGAAGCACTCGCCGCCTCAGCCTTCGCTCTGCGCATGAGGGGCAGGCCGCTAAAGCTCGGGACTCGATAAAGGGAGTGGAGCGAGGTTGGGCAAAATGTGTTGGCTAAAGCCAGGCCCCAGCCACCTTTGAAGGGGAACCCAAGACAAAGGTTTTCATTTGAACACGCAATTAGATTGGTTTAAGCATGTTCAAAGGGGTTGGCCCAACCCTCGGTCCGTGGGGAATGACGATCTTCTATCACGTTATGATCCGTTGCTTGCCCAGTGGTTTCGGGGGAAATTGGTTTCAAACACAGTGGTGAGCTACTTTCATTTGGTTGTCCCCCCTCAAGCTGCTTGGCGCATCTCAATTTGCAGGTGTCCTGCGAGGCATGCTCAGCCACATCCATGTGGCCGTAGACGGCACGGTTTGCATGTGCCAAGCCAGAGGCATGGCACCCTAGGAGCGGCCTGAGACCGTACTTTCCGCACATTGCCGTTAGAGTTTGCAAGGTTGTCATTGCCCAGGCCGCGCATGTGTTGTGGAGTCAGCCTTGGATGTTAGTCGGGACCCTGGGCTCCTGGCACGTGATCCGCATGCGCTCATGCACCAGCACCATCACCATAGCAAAGGAGCGCGTGTCAACTCTTCTTGGGTCCCTTCATGTGAACCATGATGCGTCCTATGACACCTCAACACTGGCAAACCTTTTCGGGCCACCTAGCGACTGACTGGACGCATTCTCAAGGGCCTCAAGGGTCGCAACCGTCTCCTTTGTTGAAGGCCTCGACCAACCTGCGTTCTATGCCTGCCTTGTGATAATACAAATTGTTCAAAACTAAATTCCTTTGGTCAGCTTTTATTATATTGTTAGGAGGGTGCCTGGCCCTGAGTGGTTTTGTGGCATTTGGGCCAGGCGCAGAGCCGCCGCCGCGCGTTACGCCCGGGCGGCCGCAGAGGCGTCGGCACTGCTGGGCCCAAAGCATGGCCTGACCCAAGGCCTACTTCGCTCAGCAGAGAGAAAAAGTCCGGCCGAGTGCCGGGAGTGGATACCATCCATTTGAGCCAATCAAAACCGATTCGGGTGGATGAAGGTGACAGTAAGGGACAGTTCCAGCCAGAAACGGCTGCGGCCGCCTGTGTATTTCCTTACATGGTTCTGGGTCAACCATTTTAATACCGGGCTTTGATTGTGGCTACTTTGCTGAAGGCATTTTCTTTGCCCCTTAGCTTTGCGGGAAAATGGTAATGGGTAGGTCTTTGGTCGCACACAGAAGACACCGCCGTACATCGGCAGGTACTACGCGCTGTTCTCCCGCATGCTGCGACCGCTGATGCAACAGCCCTGCCCCGATGTGTCAATTCTGCTTCGGTGCTTGCAGGCGCTTTGCTTTGCGGGGCTTCCATTGGCATGTTCTGAACATTTCTGCAGTACTGTAGTTACAGCAAGCCGAAATAGTGCATCTCTATGTGAGGGGGGAGCAGCATCCTGGGTGAGCTCCTTCAAATCTAGTCGCTTCCCCATTAAATCCAACCCGAATGTTCAGGCCAAAATCCAAAACAAGACTGCCCTCCTTTTACTTTTACTTGATCCTATACCAAACCAATACTAAACCTCTGACAGCCTTTATTCGGGGGTAATTTCAGCACTTCCCATCTTTCAATTGTAAAACAAGGCCGGGAGGCGCACTTTGTCACAACTTGGCCGAAGGCCTATTGCTGGGCGGGCTACCATCAGCAGAGCCACTTCTTCGGGCACTTCGCAAATCTGATGACTGATGCTGACCTCGAGCTGGAGCAGCTGGTGGAGGGTGTCGTGCTCTTTTCAGGCCGCTTGCTGTTCACCTCCAGAAGTCCCAGCTTGTGGCCAGTTTTGATTTGGCCTACCAGGGAGAGAGCAATTTTCTCAGCTGACAGTCAGCCGAATGCCACCCGAGGTTGCATGTTGCAAGTCTCTCTAGATGTGCCAAAATGGCCTGCGAAAGCGTGGCTTGCGCTCGGAGGCACAGCGGAGTATCAGGAGAAGTTCTTCCATACTGCAGAGCAGCGCCTCTTGCGAGACTTGCCCTTGCCGCTAGGCCTTAGGTGACTGGTCGCCAGAAGAAAAACATGCCGGTGACTTTATGGAGCATCATGGATTCCCAACAGCCCGCACTTTTTTGACGAAGCAGCGTTTGGGATAGAAAGCGCCTTCTAAACTTGTGGAGCAAGTTTCTTGAGCCTGATGGGCCTGGCCACATTCGGCCCTAAGCCACAGCACAGGGCAAAGTCAAGAATCTCAGCAAGGCTCCAGGCAGCTGCGCTCTTCCTTCTTTCTTAGCAAGCTTTGTTCTCAGTAGAGATCCAAGTAACGTAGGATTGCAGCAGCTTCCTAGTTCCATGAGGCTGCCACAAAAAGCTTGGTCCCAGTGCTTCTAGTCTGTTGATGGCCCCAGCAACAGTGCGAGTCTTGCCTACAATCGACCTTAGTCGGGTCCAAAGGTTCTAGAAATCCTTTCTGTGTCGCCTGTTCATACTGATAGATGACATTTAAGTTGTGCTTGTGTTTGTTTATACTCTCGCATGCCTTCTAAAGCAAGCCAAACCAAGCGCCGATTCAAGTGCCAAGACCCAGGACTTCCATGCCAAGAAACCAACAGCCACATTGGTGATGGACGCTTGAGCTTTGCCCCCAAGCCCAGCAAGCACTCGCTAAGCCGCTGTGCCAAGGCTCTCGCCGCACCAGGCGAGCCTTGTGGCCTTAGCCTTTACAGCGCATTTGCACAGCCACGACCAGCTGTTGGAGGCGGTTGCCGGTCTGGTGCAACTCCAGGCCAGTGGAGTTTTGATTTGTTTTTTCGGTACGGTGAAGGCGGCCCGCGTGTAGTTAGCAGGCCCGCATATGTTGGGAGAACCACCACTCTCGTCGAGGCGTTCAGGGCGGGTAAAGGGAAGCGAGAAGGAAGCCAGTCGCTGAGCGGACACCCTACTTTTGGAGACAAACCCATAGTCATGCGAAGACTTTAAATTCAGACATGTTCAGACATGACATTATCTATTGATTCAGAAGCAAGGGCTTTGTGCCATATCACGAAAGCTAGCTTTAGCTAGCTGAAGTTTCTCCTTGCGTAAGCAAGGTAAGGGGCTCAAATGCCGAAAGATTGATTTTTTCAATTATTTGAGCCGAAAAGATTGAAAAACATCAATTATTTAGACACCCCCCTCCCCCCCCCCCCCGGGTCTCAGGCTCGATTCCTCCCTGGTCCATCCCCCCCCCCCGGGCAGTGGCTCAGTGTTCAGCAGTCTCGGTTTGCCCGTTTTGAACTTGGTGCTACGAACTTCTACATGTTCCACCGATTCAGCTTGTTCATTTGAGACCTCAGTCTTCTCGGTAAACCACCTCGCAAGAATCTTTGCACACGCTGCATGCAGAACCCAGAGGTGCTTTAAGACAGCTTCTGACGCCTCTCGTTGTTTTCAGTTTTCAAGGTTTGCCACGCCACCATGTGCGTTTGCGTGTCGCATCCTACGAATCTTGCCGGGCCTCTCGTTGTACACAAGCTACCTATGAATCCACTCTGTCACCGACCCATCTCACGCAACAACTGCTAGCTTTCGTTCACCCGCTCCTCAAGTAAGGAGATTTCCGAACGCTCCAACAAGAAATACGTGTTATTCAGTTTTTGTTGTCGGTATTGCTTTTGTGTTGCGCTTGGGTCCGCGGCTTTGTTGTCGTTGGGGTAACTTCTTCACATCCTATTATTATTCTAAATTATGCACCCTTCTCAATTCAAGTATGCTGAGTCTTTGCGCCTTTCCACGGATCGCCCTGTTTCGGACAAGGCAGGAAACAGGGTCCCCGACTTGGCGTTTCGCATGTGTCTTTCCATCGCTTCAGGGCTACCTCCAGTCATGCCCCTGGCTGGCTGTGGGTTGATTTCTGTCAAATGGTTTGATTGTTTTTGTTTGACCGGAAAGGGTCAGGTATGCTCAGGTAATTAGAGAAGGTAGCGTTCAGACTGGTTGCCTTGGCTTGCACATTGCGATGGTGCGTGTGGTACCTCACTTAGGGTCACACAATCTGTGATCAGAACGTCGGATGAGGATGATCCTACCAATAAATACCATTCAAAGGAATGTATATCAATGCCATTGCGGCTTGCTCAATGAGCCCCCTCAACTTGGAAGGGGTCGACTTTCACCCAGAGTGCTTAAGACTTGATGACTGATGCAAGAGTGAAGGGCCTTGTGCGGCAATGCGCGGGACGAGAGTTTCAACGTGTGTCTGCAGGCTATGAGCATGGAACCTGCAGATATCGTGACTGGGCAGAGACAGATTGGGGGCACGCGTGGAGTCCGGCCCTCCTGAAAGCCAGTGCCATGCTGGGTCGACTATTCAGCTGGCCAAGTCATGATGGAGATGGTGATGTGAAAAAATATGGTCGGCTCTTGTTGGCCCTGCACACCGCATGCGTACGATACTTCACATTTGATTGCAGTACAGTACCCCAGGCTGCATTGCGAGTGCACACATGCATGCATGATGCACGCATGCATGATGCATGCATAAACGCAGCATGCGCACACGCAGACATGCACATACATAGTCACAACGCACACATGCATTATGGGCATATGCGCAGGTGTTCCGTACAAACCTATTCACTCATAGCTTGAACCTTTTGTATCATAGATCGTGCGCGTCTCAGGTTCGATGCCTGCAGGCCTTCCACAGGGCCGTTCTTTTCTTCCCGGATGCCGTGCGCGCAGGCCAGGCCCTCCGGACAGCATGGTAAGGCCATCCCCAGAGGCGAGTCGGAACCCAATAAAGTGAATGATTAGCTGCAAAACCTAAACAGAAGCCAACAAAGAATGATCCCACGTCTTAAACCTAATCTCTTAGCCCGCCTGCTTCCTTTCAGTGAGCGACAGTGAGCGACTCTGGTGAATTGAGCCATGCTAGGCTAGGGCTGCATGGTTTTGTCCCATTTGCCACAAAATAATTACTGAGACGGCCTGAATGTCCACCAGAACGTCCTGAGTGTGAGTGCAGGCAAGCCGCGCAAGCTGGTAGTATATTCGGTAACTATCACCAGCGGACACTTGCAGAGTTCCGCAGTGTCTTGTTTTTTTTCTTCTTTTTTGTCTTGCTTGTTTTTGTGTGTGTGTGTTGTGTGTGTGTGTGTGTTTGAAAGCGTGTATTGATGATACAACGTACTGGTCGTCCTTGCATATATTTCTGATTTCTTTGGTAAAGAAGTGCTGAGCTCAGTAGCTGTTGAAGAAGCTAGCAAGCAAGTCAAAGACAGGGAGTCAGAGGTGTGCGGGCCGAGCTATGGGATTTTCCATGCATATGGCCATGGCGCAGTGGATCCCCTATCTCACGGCGATTTGTGCATGTTTGGCAGTGCACTAAGTCATTTTCGAACTTTGTGATGAACATCCGATCCACGCCATTGTTCATGTGAATGCCATACCTTATGGAAGCCTGTTTGTCACAACCATGGATCCGGTCGCTCTGGAAAGCGGCGAACCTGAATCATTGGGGCAGACGCTGCGTCAGGGTCCCGGCAAGATGCCAACCGGCCAAACATGAGCAACATCGGGCACGTCCAACAAACAATAACCTTTTTATTTGGAGGGATACCATCTTCGGAACTTTCTTCGGCTCTTGATCCCCCAACACCTCGTAACAACGATTTCATGATTTAATCATTGCCTGTGTTTTCAATACTCTTGGGCTCCCGAGATTTTTGCTTGCCCCTAACAGGGAGTTTATCCGGAGGGGGGGGGGTTGCTCAACATTACTTACTTTCCTTTTTGGTTGGCAGAGATTTCCATGTTTGCCGCAAGGCCTACCTGGCAAGCCCCCAATGTATTGCGGGAACTTGTGTTTTCATCAATTGGATTCCGGAAAAATCATGTCCTGCTGTGGATATGCATGGAGAGCCTCACATCCGCTTGGAGATTCGCTGGTGGCCATCAGGCAGGTAATATCTCGCAGCAGGGGATGATACGCAGAGGACTTTGCAGAGTCAGGATGTTGCCATCAATGACAGCTTCAGAGACGCATGTCGGATCGCTGTAATTACTGTTCATGCGAGGGGTGGTTGATCTCTTCATCCTGTTCGGGTGCTGTAACTGAGTCTGCCCCTGATGCTCACGGAGCCGACGCAGCAGTGACTGCCCGGACAACTGGGAATTTGGTATTGCAGCCGGACGTAGCGACGAAGCCAAACGGCGTCGCCGATAAGCGGGACAAGAGCTTGAAGCTGTCCCTTGCGTTTGTCCATCAGAACCCCGAATGGATCCAAATGGTGGGTGTGGCGGAATGTCTCTCTCCCACTTCTACCCCGCACTCTTGGCCCAGGAATCTACCAAGCCGGCACTAGTTGGCTAGCAATGTCGTGACTTTCTTGGCCCACTTGTCCAAAATGGTATTAATTTCTGAAAGGCGCTGAAACAACCAACTGCGCCGATCTTGGGGCCCCAACTTCCTTGCTCGATTCCCCTTGTAGTTGGAGCTGCCTCCCTTGGCAGGCCCATTTGGACTGAGCCTTTAGGCTCATTTCACTCGTTTGCAGGCCTGGACGCTTGCTCCGTGCCTTTGTACCGCGCCTGGCTGCTGCGGACGCCCTGCCCCGCCTTGGCGCCCACGGACGTGGCGGAGCTACTGGAGAGCGCGGCCTTCTTCGGCGCCTTCGACGGTGGGAGTTCAAATGGAACGGAAGCACGGGGCGCACGATTCAGGATGCATTTGGTCACTAATTAAAAGCCATCGTTTCCGGCTGATGAGGACGCCCTTGCCTTTGTTTGGTCACGAATAGGGTTGTAAACTTCCCAAATTGGGCTTGCTGGGTTTAGAACCGTTCCTCCGCAAAACAGAGGCAGGCAAGGGACGGACGCGTTGCTTTGCCACTTAGGCATCCCAACGGATCTGACCAGAGTAGCCCTCGAGTACTTGGCCGATCACGTAGATGCGGTGCCGGAGCGGGCAGCCATCCAAACTGTCTACGCCATGTGCATGACAGGCGGGAGCCCGCGGGACGCATTGCTGGTCAGCAGTCAGCTTACCCGCATCTGATTGCTTGGTGGTGTGGATTTGAACCCCGCAGTTGAAACCAAATGGGACGCTATCTCAAACCCAGACAACTAGGGGTAAGCTGATTCAGGTTGGGTCCAACCCGGAGCGCACCCCTTAAGCAAGAAAGCACCCCTGGGGGCAGGGGTGCTGATGCCTAAATCTGCCCTTTCCAAAGCAAGGCTGCAGTGGGAGGCGCTGACAGCATGTTGCAGGATGTCCTGCTGGAATGCCATGTGTGATCCTCTTCTCCTTTTGTTTTCATGGAATTAGGTAACCTTGACTCTCCTCGCCTTGATAGGGGGCGTGCTCCAGGTGCGGTGGCGAACCATTCCAAGTTGCTGCTCTACCTCTTTCGCAAGATTGGTGCCGGCGCCTGGGCTCGGGTGGGGTCTCCCTCTGTGGCTGGTTCAGCAAAGTGGGGTCTCTCTGGCAAGCGGGTCTGGTGACCGCTTCGGTTTTCTTCATTTGACGGTTCGCTGAATTGATTGACATGTTCTCTGAACCACGGTAATTATCACCTTTCCTTCAAGACAGGATCCCGGAAAACAGCACCAACCCCAGGAACCGCCTGGGAAGCTCAGCGAGTCCGAGTCTTCCAGATTTGGATGCCAGAGCCTCAGCCAAGAACATATTATACAGCTGGTCTCCCACTTTGGCTGGGCCACTGGGTGCACCAGGTTACCTTGTGGCAAATCTGATAATCAAGAGTGAGCCGACCATCGCAGCATGTCAGCAACCCGAGCTCCTCACTTGGATCCTGGGTGCGTGAGACCAAAGCCATTTGCAGTGCCCAATGCCAAGTGGAGATGATTGGATTTGGACAGTGCTACTCCGGGGTCGTTCCTGTTTTACCGGGAGGTCATGTCTTTTTGGGTGGATTGCTTGAATCAGCGTGGTCCGGATGAATCTGCACCCAAGGTCTCAACTCCTTCAGTTCCCCTGGCTGGACGCGCGCCTCAAAAAGCGCTGCATTGAGACAGGCCAGGCCGAAGCCGGAACGACTTCCCTTTCTCTACCAGGGTCACTGGACAACTGCGTTGCAGTTTTTTGACCAGTCAAAACGGCTTCCTTTTCATGGCCACCAGGTTTGGGGAAATCTACGGACTCATGATTTCAAAGCCGGACTTTAACGGGCTGCATCTAGAATATGGGCGAGAAAGCTGCGATCATCAGCTCCAAAGTGCCTCAAATAAATGGAATGATCATAGGATGCAGCAGTTGTCACTTGCAATGTGCCCTTCTTGGCCATGAATCCTCAAAAGAAGAGCCACGCGGAAGGTTCCATGTCCATTTTCTGGTGGGCAATTTGTTTGCTTGTCAAAACTAGGGAACTTTCGAAATGGTTATCCTGTTCATCTCCTTCCAATATTGAGCCTGATATTTTGTACAGCCCAGAGTTTCTCACAGCAAATGCTACTGCACAACTCGCCCAAACTACAAGACGCGGACATTTTGTAGTATCCCCTGTGTTTCAAGGGTAGCCAGTGGTCAGTGGTCTTGCTACAGGGCCCAAAGAACACTCACAATTCCGTTTATGTATACGGGTAAAGGGGATAACGAAACCAACATTCATTGGCAAAACAGAGCTGATGAATCCGGGGAGCTGCGCATGCCCTTTCCAAGCTGGAGCGTCCTTTGGACGCAAGGCTGCAAGACAGAGAGAGACAAAGAGCAAAACAGAAGCAACAATCTGTCTTTTTCCAGGGTACCCTATTGTCGTGGTCTTATAAGGAAACCAAAAGGACCCCCACCCATTTTTTGAGTTAAGGCTACGCAGGTCTTTGTTTCCATTTACCTCCACTTACCTAGGGGCCATTGTGGGTACATTTTTTGAGCCACAGCCATATGGTTTGGAATCGTGCCATCTACTTCCCGTGTGTCAGCAGTTGGCAAGGCATGCGCGCCTGGTGCTTGCACCGGGGCGGCTTCGGGTGCCCGCACCCCGAGGAGGCGACGGCTTGTTTTTCCTGGGGGGGTGACTTGGGCAATGAACAAAAGGCAGCTGTTTCTTGGTTGGGGATCGTCACCAATCCAAAGATTTTAGGTCTGAGTGTCGCTAATTTCCCACTTTCATCCGGTCTGACTTGCTTCTGTTGACTGTTTCTAATTGAAGCCAAGCATCAAGCTGCCTTTGGCCGCCTTGCCATCTTTTGGCATTCCTTGTACTTCCTGCGCATGGTGCACAATTACCGTAGCCTTTCTGCGCGTTTGCCAGCTTGCGTCTGTTTTGTGGTTGGGGTTTGCAAGGGGCCAAAAGGAATCCACCCCGATGTGGTTCCATAACTTGGCAGCGACAGAGCCGGGGATTTCCTCGGGGCCGGTACTTGAAGAGCCCAATTCGTCCCTTTCACGCGCACGACTCACGAGGTGCGGGAGGTCTCTGAGGAGCTGAAGAGCATGGGGGTGGCGCACCAAAGCTTCGTGCACGTGAAGGTGATCCGAAAATCCGGTTCGCAAGCAGGTGGTTGGCTGCTTGCTGGCTGGCTGGCTTGGTTGGCCCTGCAACCCTCAGTTGTTTGTTCAGATTGGGCTGAAATTCGGCCCGGTTGTTTTCTGATTAACCACTTTGGCGGACCATCCTGAAGGGAGCCGTGACCATCCACAAAAAGAGGCCTCACCTATTTTAAGGCCTACAATAGAAGCCGCAACAACCATGTTCTATCAATGTGGGACTTGCGGCTAGAGCCAGAGATTAATGGGTTTGGGGGAGGACACGCCCTATGAACTGGACGTGGTCATCGGGGACCGCAAGGCTGCGCTGCTGGTGTCCTCGGAGACAGCGAGGAACACGTTGACGCCGGCTGCTTTGACGCGTTTCATTTCTTTGCTAGGACCATTTACCAAGCCTTTTGGGCCGTTTTGGTAGTGAATAAGAAGACATCAAACTGTTTGGGACCATTTCAGTGGTGAGTAAGCAGTCCATAATTCTGTTTAGCAAATCCACGCAAAAGTGAGAAAAGGAGCCGCTGATTTCGGGGATTCGCAACCATAGGATTGAATTTTAGTTGGGGCTTCTTTCGTGGACTTCATAGCTGGTGAGTAATTATTTGTCATTTCTGTGAACCACGCACCAACCTTTGCAAGCGTGCCTGGCTTGCACCGTGCTGTGTTTCACAGCCTCGTGCTTGAGAAGAAGCATGCGATCGGATGGTCGCAGCAGAGTTTTCTTTTGGCTGGTTGTCCAGGCTTGTTCTGTGGTGCACGCAAATCACCTCGCTTGAACAAAGTTGGGGGGCCAATGTATTGGACAAGGGTTTCAGCCGCGCAACACCGTGGTGGCGGTTTGGCTCCCCAATAGGTTTGTACAATGCTGATTCGAGGTGCAGCGGAAATGTACAAACGGAGCATTTCAGAGCGGGGGATCTGTGTTTTGCCATATGCCCCAATGTAGATAGCAGATGCACGCCGACAACATTTCTTGCGTTGGTTCAGGACGCAATGCATTCAGCTAGCATTTGTTGATGTTGTTGTTATCTTGAATGGTACATCCTTGCGAAAGATGCTAGGGTGGAAGGGTCAGGCAGGGATGTTTGCCGTGTTTGGGGATAGCGGGTTCAGAGAATCTTCGACCCTAGGAATCTGAGTTTGACCGATTGTATAGCACACTCTCCCCAGCGCCTTCGATTCTTGAGATTACATGTCATGTGCATAGCCTCGCAACATTCCGATTCAACTCAGCAGTTGGCATCGCTGAGAGGGACTCATGCTGCAATTGGAGCCAACTCGGCGATGCAAAATCAGCTTCAGGCTTGCATTGGCAAGAGTGCGACAAGATGTTGGGCGGATTGGGAGGTTGGCCCTGACGAAATACATCCTGCAACACTGCGTCCATGAAAGGGATTAAAAGTATAGGGCTTTGCAATGAGCTCGTGGACCATGCCTATCCCCAATGATAAGACAACAACAAACCCTGCCGTTCCCCAACTCATGAGTAGGAGTGCAGTGCGGCCATGTGGCAGTCGCGCAGGATCGCGCATGTTCACGTTTCAGTTTTGAGGCTCATGTTGCAGCCTCATGTGCTGACAGGCCTGGGTTTCTGCTGAAACGACCAGCTGCCAGGCCTGCAAAGTGAAGGACCCCTTGAAAAGCTTCGATCACGGTGAATGCTTGCCGTTGGTCCTTTCATTTCTGAAAGCACGGCTCCCGCTACCGTTGGAATTCCATAGCGAGGTCGGTCTATATGCTGAGGGATGAACATTATAATTGGCCTTACCAATGCATTTGCGAAAGCCAGGCTTAAGCCACACAGTTGCAAAGTGAAGGAGTGAACGAAACAAGCAGCATATTCCCACCCACCTCTCGCCTGATTTCGCAACGCATGTCTCGGAGACAAACATATGATGCCGGCGGTGACTTCGGGGAGAAGCGCCCCCCCCCCCCAGTCTAGCGAAGATGTTCCTTGATCCAACCTCGGCTGCTTGCATTCCTCAGCACGTGCCTGAGGTGGGTGGCACCCTTTTGCAGATCAAGCATTTGCAGGCCAGGAGCCAGCAATCGCGGAGCTTGTGGCTGTGGACTTGGCCAACGGTTCCTGAAGTGCATTTTACCAGTTGCAGCGTGCACTGATGCGTTGCTGGAGATGTCTTGCACTTGGTATGTAACAGGTTTGGCTCCTTCACTCACAGCACCAAATTGCGGAAAGTAGGGAGAGCGAGAGAGAGAGAGAGAGCTTGTGCGCCAGCCTGCCTTGGAAAGCGGCTACTTGATGTGTTGTATCCTTGAGCAGGTCTGGAAGAATCAAAAGGTCAAACATCAACCATGTTTGGCCTGTTGTGGTGGAACCGATTTAGTTTTGGAGAATCCAGTTTTCCGATCATTCCCTACATAGACCTGAAGAGGTCACTTTCGTTGCAAAGTGCACCGTCAACAGTCTGGCTGGAACGACTTGATGTGAGATTGTCTCTGCTTCCTATTTAGAGGATTCTATTGCTCATGCAGGTAAATGCTTGCCATGTCCAAATATCCGATGTCCTCACACCATGTCACTCCAGAGGATGGGACTTGCACCAAAAGTGTTGCGACCTTTTGTCATGTACTCGCTGGCCGCGAAGAACAAGAAGCTCTGGCACCATCAGCCGTTGTAAGCCTTTGGTACTTTGCTGTTTGAGATGCGCTGAGTTGGAAAGCACAACTGCGAGGATGGGTGATCAGAACCATGGCATGTCAATGCTAGAATATTGTTGCGTTCCTCATTGTTATTGTTATTTTTGTACATCTTTGTATGTTTGTTGCCACCAGTGCTTCCTGCTGCATGGACCTTTTCCGTGCAGGACCGGGGCTGGCGCTTGCTGGTCATCCCTCGTGTCGCCTGGCGCCGGCTGCCTGCAGTGTCCAGGGTGCCTCGCTTTGCAGCGAGTTGCATCGAGTTGCGCGCGGCCCGCGGCACCACATGGTTTTTTTCCAGTCACAGGCTCCCCATATTTTCCCTCCTGCATTTTGACGTGAGTCTTGTTGGTTGCATGTGATGAAGCTTCCTTTCTCATTTTCTCGGGCCGAGCATACCCAAGATGAACCGCAGTGGGTGAATTTGTATGATTCACCCTGATACATAATATGTGTAGTTTCTGAAAGGGGCACTGGATGCGGCGACGCTTGACCATATCATAATTATTTGGGGGTGATGGTGTCCAGTTCATTCCAAGGTTTACTCTCTCACTTGTTTGGAGCCTTAGGTCACCTGTGGTGATTCATGCCTGGGGCATTGATCATGCAACTGGGAGAACATACCTGTTTCCACCATGAAAACATGGACTCAAATGGCGCTCAACATGCGAACTGCCAAACCATTCCAAGTTCAAAGGGGAGGGAGTATGCCGCTTGCCAGTGTAGCACAGGTCACCAGCTCATGGCATTTGAGTGTTCACTGTCACAACTCCAAGTCCAATAGAGAATAGGACCATGTACCAAGATTGGCTTGCAGGCAGGCGACCGGAATAAGATGTGAACCGCGCCTCGGAAGGTTTGAGGTTCTGAACACCGGGAAATCTGGGTAACATCACTTCCGAGACCATTTAGAATTACAGTTTCTTGCTGACGGGCCTGCAGCATGGTCCCAATTTGGTATGGTTGAATGGCTTAGTGATGTCTCCAGCATCATTGGTTTCATGATTGAGTATTGCAGTTGAAGGCTTAATCTAATTATTTCGAAGCATATTTCCCGGCCGAGGCTCGCTATCTCAGTCTCCTGTTGGATGGCTTGGCCTCGTCGCAGCAAAGTCTCTCTGCATCAGAGGCCCGGATACTTCTGGGCAAGCAATCGCCAGCAACCTGCGGTTTAAACCAGCGTGCCCATGATGTGTTCTTGCTCCCTTTTCTATTTAAAAATGCATCTTGAGGGAGAACGTCATCTCCCATGGCCAGCTAGGTGACAGACTACGTGCATTGTGTTTGAATCGATATACGGCCATTTCGCGGGGGCGTCATACAAAAGCCAGCCATCGATGAGTCACTATGAAGCGACAACGTTGCGCATGCTGCCAACCTTCATGAGTTCAGTGTGCTTGCTGCCAGGTAACAAGACTTCCCGACCCCAGCTGGGAGGAGTGAGCAGCCAGCGTTAATGCAGGGTCAAGGTGTTTTGAGGGAGAAGGCTGTGCAATGCAGATGGAGCTTCACCGAGCATTCACTGTCTGCCCCAAGAGCCTCGGCCGGAGGGTAGTGCAAAACCATGCTCAGGAAAATGGCCGCTGCTTGCGCGTGACATTTGGGGGGAGCCGCGCGCACTTTGTGGGTGCAAGGAAATACCGTATAGAGGGGGGGGGGCAAGTTCCGTTGTATTTCCAAGCGCTAGCGGTAGGGATCCCTTGCCATTTCGTGCTCCCAGGAATGCCGATGTCCTGCTCGTCAGGTGCAAGGAGGCGGACACTGAGGGTTCAAATGGGGAACGCATCTTGGTGTGACCCCTTTGTGATATTTTGTGATCCCCAAAAAAAGAGAAACCAAGGTGACCGGGTGTGTGTGTGTGTGTGAGTGTGTGCCTTTGCATTCTGTTTTGTGTCTTCTTTTGCGTGTGTGTGTGTGTGTGCGTTGTTGCATAGCACCCGTGCATGCTGGCTCACACTCTAGCCATATCTGTCACAAGTTCCGACATTAAATCTACTGGTAAATGCACAGTGCGAGTAATTAGTAATCAGTGCTGCAGTGTGGACATGTGGCTGATGAAGGCTTCGTGCGTGAATATGGCTGGAATCAGCAAGATTGGGCGGTGCGAATAGTTAGGCGTCATAGGATGTATTTTGGGGTGCTTTTATATAAGAGGATTCGATTGGCAAGGCGGAGGTCTGACTTGTAGGAGCTGAGTCTTCAGAACATGTTAAGAGTTTGTCTCCAAATGGTTACCCGTGATAAAAGCTGGGCTTCCTCTTGTTTTCCGCTTTCGACCACCCAACAGGGTGTTCCCTCAGAGCAAGTAGACAGTCAACCCCATATTGGGCACACGTTTGACCAACAGCAGTCCCATTGCCCCTCGCGCCTCCACATTGCCAGGCAGAAGCTCGATGCTCTGCTGCAGAGAGGAAGCTGGATCAATACAGGCCGATGATGTATTGGATTATCAAATGTAGGGTGCGCGTCTGGGATATGTTGTGTTGTTTTTAAACAAAACACTGCCCAAGGAAAGCACATATGTTACTTTTTTGGGTAGCGTTGCTTATGTTGGGAAAAATCCAAGTGGGCCCTGAGCGGCTAGCAGCTAGGGGGAAACTGGGTCGCTTTAAATCATTTCTTCCCTGGGCATAGCCTTTGAGTGCTTGACGCTTGCCTTTGACATCATTCCAGCTAGAGATGCTAGCTGGCAGCCTTTTGCTTGAACGAAGGTTGTGCGTGTGTGTGTGTGTGTGTGTGTGTGTGTGTGTGTGTGTGTGTGTGTGTGTGTGTGTGTGTGTGTGTGTGTGTGTGTGTGTGTGTGTTTGTGTGTGTGTGCGTGTGTGTGCAGGCGACTTCCAGTGATAGTCGGCTTTATGTGGGTTAAACTCAATCCTTGATCCCCATGTCAGATGGTAGTGGCTCTCCACGGAGTACGAAACCAACCCACCCAGACCTTTGCTTACCACTGCCACCATTGCAGCTGTTCTCACTACAAGTGGTGCTACAACTTGTCCAAGATGTGATTGGATGTTCATGGCGGAATCCCCTTTTGAACGATTAAGCCAGTTCTACATGCAACTGGCATGGGGCTGCAGATCACACTGGAGTGGTGGCATGCTGCACTGAGAGCCTTCCTCTTAGTGCATCATCGTTGAATATTCTAGCTACAGTAGGCCTCCTGAGGTTGCCGTCCATCCGGGCACAAAGTGAGTGTCAAGCAGCCCCAAAAGAAGCGTGCAAGCCTACCAACACCCTTCGAAGCCACCGTCGTTTGCCAGGCAGAACGAGAGGCTGCTGGCGGCAGCGCAGGCTGGTTGGCTTGCTGGTTTCTATGCCTTGCTGCTGACGTCACAGCTGGTCAACCATCCTGATCTTACACTGCTGTGGTTGGTTCTGGCTTTACATACATGATTTGAAACACCCATGGTGGATGAATGCCGAGTGGGGACCGCCTGTTCATGAGTTTGGAACATATCATAAATGATGTCCCCAACTCAAAATGACATGGTGCTTTTGTGCAGTGCTTCACGGGCCTTTTTGGAGCTGGGGAAGGTGATACATGTGTCAGAGATATCCCATGCAGGAAGAGATGAGGCCGCGCGGCTGCGGGGCTCGAGCGCTCGCAATGCGCAGAGTTTTCCATGTTGCTTGGGCAATTAATCCCTTCTTCACAAGCACCCCCCAACAACAAAATAATATATTGTCCATTCCCAAAACAATCCAGGCCCGGGCCCGGGAGTACGAAATTTAGAATTGGGCCAATTCTAAACCAGCGATCGTCCCCAACTCGAGCCCTTTAAGGGATCGCCCAAATCCGTTCTTTGTGGAAGCCACAAGCAACAGAACCCGAAACAGGCTAGCTTGTATTTGAGTCGTTTTTCACAAATTGCATTTGGGGGAGGCGCTTTTTTGGGCTTTCGAAAAGGAAAGAACCCAGCAAACCCTGACTCTCCGCTGCCAACCCTGCTTGCTTGCCTGCGGCTTACCTAAGCGCTCGAGCCGGTGGAAACAAGAAAAAGAGAGGAGTTTGAACCATTTAAGTCCCTTTCTTGAGAATTGCATTCTGTGACCTTTTTCACTCGTGGAAATCAAGTGTAATTTGTGCTACAACTCAAGCTGTTCCCTGCCACCAAAAAGCAATCAAACAGGAGCCCCCTACTACTTGGTACATATATGTTTTTTCTTTTTCGGGAACAGCCTTTTTTAATTGGGCGAGGGTCGGGTTTAATAGAATGGACCTGTATGGAAACACGTTTTCCCAGTTGAGCAGCGATCAAAAATGCTCAAAGCAATTCAAGTAAGGGAGCGCTGAAATCAATCAGCGCGGAAGGTTTTCCGCAGGCCGCGGAAGCTTGCGGAAGGGCCGGCGGAAGTTGACTACGAAATTTGCACAGCGGAAGGGCGCGGAAGGGGAACATTTTTGGAGCGTCAAAAGGTATCGAAATCAAATCTCTTGCTCCCCAGGCCCACACCAATTGTTTCTTCGGGCAAACAAAATCTTTTCTGCACCCCGGCAGCACCCCGGCCACAAAACCAAACGATTTTCACTGGCCTGTTTTGGCCGTCCCGCAAGAAGCGGCGTCGAGGAATCGAGTCTCATCATCTCACGCCCGCTGCAAGTCGGAGGACTTTACCAAGTCACCACGTGGGCTTCTTCTGCAATGGCCGGTTGGGCCGATATTTACTTGTCAGTTGAAGCGAAATGGTTTTTGCGCCCGGGGAGCTAAAACGATTTGTTCGGGCCGAACAAATCGTTTTAGCCCCCCGGGCACCAACCGAACGAGGCCGAACAAATCGTCATTTGTTCGGGCCGAACAAATCGTTTTAGCTCCCCGGGCACTAAATTTGTTCGGGCCGAACAAATCGTTTAGCTCCCCGGACACTAAAACGATTTGTTCGGGCCGAACAAATCGTTTTAGCTCCCGGGCACTAAAACGATTTGTTCGGGCCGAACAAATCGTTTTAGCTCCCCGGGCACTAAAACGATATGTTCGGGCCGAACAAATCGTTTTAGCTCCCCGGGCACTAAAACGATTTGTTCGGGCCGAACAAATCGTTTTAGCTCCCGGGCACTAACACGATTTGTTCGGGCCGAACAAATCGTTTTAGCTCCCGGGCACTAAAACGATTTGTTCGGCCCGAACAAATCGTTTTAGCTTCCGGGCTCTAAAACGATTTGTTCGGCCCGAACAAATCGTTTTTAGGGCCGAACAAATCGTTTTTAGGCCCAGGCCTAAAATGCGTGGAGATTGATGTGGGGCTCAATTCGCGGAACGCTGGAGGAAGGGCGCGGAAGGACAGCGGAAGGGTTCCGTGATTTGGATGCCTTGTGTGTGATGTGTTGTTCTCGCTAGCCGCGGTGTGTCGTGAGGCTTCACGTTTGCGGTTGCAAATCTATTAGGATTCGCGTTTCAGCGTCGTTATGAGTATGGGACCCATAAGCCATTTGCTACAGCTGTCTGGGCTCCACTGAGCTCCCGGACCTCCCAGGATACGAGGCAACAGTTGGAGGTTCAAGCCCCGTCAAGCTGCAGCCTCTCAGGGACAGCGAAAACAATTTGCCAGGCCCGCGTGAATCAATATTGCTGCAGTGATCCTGTTGGCAACGCTTTTCACGAAAGCAATGGGTGGTGGATGACAAACTCAATATCTAGTTGTGTTGGCTTGGCAAGAAAGAGACGCAAGCCGCGGAAGGCGCGGAAGGGAAATGAGAGCGCGGAAGCAAACACCCGCAGCGAGGAAGCGCGCGGAAGCACGCGGAAGCGCCAAATGATATCATCGCAATTTGGCCTATTGATTTTGATCACCGCTCAGTTGGGTGTTGGGATATTTTTTTTGACTCTCTTCTGTTGCCAGCAGTGGCATGTCCCAATGTCCAGTTGGCGCGGCGCGGATCAACTTCAACTGGTTGTTGTCCGCCCGGTTTTTGGGTGGGGCCTGCGGAACGGCCAAACTGCAGACCCGCGCCGGTTCAGGATGCTTTGGATGTATGTGGAGCGGGCGAGGGAAGAGAACGCGCAGCTGCAGGACTGAAGCGAAAGCAAGGCGTCAGGCCATTTCAGAGGGGGTGATACGAGCTGGGTGCACTCATTTCCTACTGGATCTGGTTACTTGCATCAGGTCATTTTGGGTAGGTTTGGTTCTGCCTCAGAGCCGTTTTTTTTTCAAGATGCAGGGAAATCAAGTGCATCCGCCTGGTGTGTAGACTTGGGGGTGAGGGAATGAAGCGAGCATTGCTATTCAGTGGCAGCATGAAGAAAAATACACCCGATGATTGCACACCAGCACCTCTAACAGCCCTCGAAGAGCGCCCCAAACAGCATCCCCAGAGCACCCGGCAAAAATGCGCCATCACCAGCACCTCAAGCAACATCCCAAAAAAAACGCCCGCACTGTCACCAGAACTCCAAACGGCACTCCAAACAGCACCCCCAAACTGCACCTACGCCAGCACACCAAACTGCACACCCCCTAGCACCCAGCCGTCAATCTTTCCCCTGCTTATTAGAAGTTAGAACCCTTATAGCTTTCAGCTATAATATGACTGCGTGAAGCAATGGTTTCATAATGAAAACAGTTGTTGACAAATCGC